GGAGGACATTATGCTTAGTGAGACAAGCCAGACTCTAAAGGACAAACACTGCATGGATCCATTTACATGAGGTACTTAGAGTAGCCACATTCACAGAGACAGAAAAAATAATGATGGCTACTAAAGGCTGGGGGAAGGGAGATGGGAAGTTACTGGGAAGATGAAAACGTTCTGGAGGTGGATGGGGGTGATGACTGCACAGCAACACGAATGTCCTCAATGCCACGGAGCTGCGTCTTAAAATAGCCAAGGTGGTAAATCTTATGCTACATGTATGTTACCACAATTAAAAATAAATAAATGAAATTTCAAAAATTAAGAATATTGGCTGAGCCCCCGTGGTTCAGTGAGTAGGGTGCTGACCACATACACTGAGGTTGGCAGGTTCAAGCCCAGCCCCCGCATCCTAAACAATGACAACTGTAACCAAAAAATAGCCAGGTGTTGTAGCAGGCACCTGTAGTCTCAGCTACTTGGGAGGCTGAGGCAAGAGAATCAGCCCCAAGAGTTTGAGGTTGCTGTGAGCTGTGACATCCCAGCACTCTACCCAGGGTAACAGCTTGAGACTCTGTCTCCAAAAAAAAAAAAAGAGAGAGAGAGAAAAGAAAAATTAAGAGTATGCATTTGATGATCTTAAAATTTTCCATATTTGGGGCAGTGCCTGTGGCTCAGTGAGTAGGGCGCCGGCCCATACACCCAGGGTGGCAGGTTCGAACAGGGCCCCAGCCAAACTGCAATAAAAATAGCCAGGTGTTGTGGTGGGCGCCTGTAGTTCCAGCTACTCAGGAGGTTGAGGCAAAGGACTCTCCTAAGCCCAAGAGCTGTAGGTTGCTGTGAGCTGTGACGCCAAAGCACTCTACTGAAGGTGGCAAAGTGAGACTCTGTCTCTAAAAAACAAAAAGAAAAAGACAAAAACTTCCATATTTGATTCTAAATCTTTCTGGGGTTAAAAAATGCTTTTCTACTAAGAAAACTGTTACCTCAACTCAAATGATCATGAGGTTACCTTCCCAAGAAAATTTTGAAAGATACTTTCTTGATGCAGTTGGGACATGAGGTCTACAGACAGACAGGACAATTTTCCCCAAGATCTTTTTTTTTTTTTTTTAAGACAGAGTCTCACTTTGTCGCCCTCAGTAAAGTGCTGTGGCATCACACAGCTCACAGCAACCTCCAACTCCTGGGCAATTCTCTTGCCTCAGCCTTCTGAGTAGCTGGGACCACAGGTGCTCGCCAGAATGTCTGGCTAACTCCCCAGGATCTTAATTGTCAGGCTTTGTATAGTCACAATATCAAGGACTCCAAAACCTCAAGAAGGGGTTGGGCTGACTGAGGCCATGCCCAGGTCTAAATGTTGTTTGTTTGTTTGTTTGTTTGAGACAAAGTCTCACTATGTCACCGTTGGTAGAGTGCTGTGATGTCACAGCTCACTGCAAACTCAAACTCTTGGGCTTAAGCAATTCTCTTGCCTCAGCCTCCCAAGTAAGTGGGACTACAGGCACCCACCACAATGCCCGGCTAGTTTTTGTTGCAGTTGTCATTGTTGTCTAGCTTGCCCAGGCCAGGTTCGAACCTGCCACCCTTAGTGTATGTGGCTGGCACTGTAACCACTGTGCTACAGGAGCCGAGTCTGTTTGTTTTTTTGAGAAGGAGTCTCACTTTGTCTCCCTCAATAGAGTGCCCTAGCATCATAGCTCACAGCAACCTCAAACTCTTGGGCTCAAGCGATTCTCTTACCTTAGCCTCCTAAGTAGTTGGGACTATGGTACCTGCTATAATGCCCAGCTATTTTTAGAGATGGGGTGTTGCTCTTGCTTTGGATGGTCTCGAACTCCTGAGTTTAGGCAATCCACCCACCTGGGCCTCCCAGAGTGCTAGGATTATAGGCATGAGCCACCCTGCCTGGCCCCCAGGTCTAACTCTTCCTCTCAAAATACTGCCATATCAATGTGGGATTCTGTAATTCTTCAGTTTTTAAATTACTTATTATGAACAAGTAATAAGTAACTTATTATTTAAAGATTATGAATTTGTGGGGACTATTATTTTTGCATTCCGGTAAGGTTCTAATTTATAAATATACTTCAGTGCCTTATAATTGGAATCTGGGTCTCCCCACCTTTGACTGTAAATCACATCACACAAGAAGACCATTCTTATGACAAATATCCCTCTCTGGCTTATGTTTTAAAAACACACCTTCAGGCTGGGTGCAGTGGCTCAGGTCTGTAATCCTCGCACTCTGGGAGGCTGAGGTGGGTGAATTACTTGAGCTCAGGGGCTAGAGCAAGACTGTCTCTACTAAAAATTGAAAAACTGGCCAGGCATGGTAGCTTACGTCTATAGTGCCAGCACTCTGAGAGGCCAAGGCAAATGGATTGCCTGAGCTCACAAGTTTGAGACCAGCCTGAGCAAAAGTGTCTAAAAAGGAAAAAAAAATCGCCTGATATTGTGGCAGATGCCCGTAGTCCCAGCTACTAGGGAAACTGAGGCAAAAGAATTGCTTGAGTCTAAGAGGTTGAGGTTGCTGTGAGCTATAATGCTAGGGCACTCTACACAGGGTGACAAAGTGAGATTCTGTTTAAAAAAATAACAATCAAACAAAAGAAAGGCTCAGCGCCTATAGCACAGTGGTTACAGTGCCAGCCACATGCAGCGAGGCTGGCGGGTTCAAGCCTGGCCCAGCCCAGCTAAACAAGAAAACAGCTGGGCGTTTTGGTGTATGCTTGTAGTCCCGGCTACTTGGGAGGCTGAGGCAAGAGAATCACTTAGGATCAAGAGTTAGAAGTTGAAGTTGCTGGCTCGGCGCCTATAGCTCAACCGGCTAAGGCGCCAGCCAC